CCCGGGCCCGTGAGGGCCACCCCCCCGCTCGACAGTTCCAAATGTAAATCTTCTGATCATGGGTAAACTCATTTTCCAATGGATTACTCGCATTTTCGGTGCAGTGCGGAAGAGATTTTAAAGGGACATGCTACTTGGCTTCAATCTTTGGCCAGCAAGAAAACCCAAGCCACAATGACCGAAGTTCTTTGGAAAGGCACGAGAGTAAACCTTGACCTTTAAGGTGGAAGCTAAGGGCCCAATACCACTGTTGATAAACCAGCAGGAGGAAGAGGACCAGTGGCCCTAGCTTTGTGGCCTGGCACTCAGAAAGAGGGGCACCGCTTCAATATTTTTCTTGGACTGCGAATAAACCTAGGCAAGATATACCACTGCGTTCGCCCAAAATAGAAAACAGGGTTGCTTATATTTATTTTCCCTCAAGAGACCAAACCCCTAGGCCGGGCGCGGGGCATCCACCTCCTGGTAATTCCTAGCTCTGCTGGGAGGCCCGAGGCGGGCGGATGCCTCGGAGGTCAGGATTCGAGATCCAGCTCCTTGAGGGCAAGAGCGAGGACCCCCATCTCTACTATATAAATGAGAAAGAAATTAACTGGCCAACTATATATATACCAAAAAAAAAGTTAGCGCTGCATGGTGGTGCCATGGCCTGGGTAGGCCCAGGGGCTACTCAGAGGCTGGGGGCAGGGGAGGACGCTTGAGGCCCCAGGAGTTGGGGTTGCTGTGAGCTAGGGGCTGGACGGCCCACAGCCACTTCACCTGCATAAGGGCCTGGGCAACGAGTGAGACTCTGTCTCAAAAATAAAAAAAAAAAAGGAAGAAGGAAGACACCCCTAAGGGCTATTTTCAGGGCATGTGATATTTTTTTTAAGGGCTGGGGTACACAATCCTCCATTGGATTCCAATCTAAGATTTAAGTCGGCCTCCCTTCTGGAAACATCATCCTCACTCCCAACCCCGGAATTCCATCCTGAAATGTCTTGGCGGAACTCTGGTTTCCTTTTAAACCCATCTGGCCCCCCCTGGGGATCTCTCCCTGTGAACCATCTAGGAAGGGCCTTCTCCACGGGCAGGTGAGGAAAGGGCTTGCTCCGTGTCCTTTTGTCCCGCTCCCTGCGACGACATGCATGGGTTGTGGGCAGATGCGGCTGCGGCAGCCACGCCGTCACTAGGCCTGAATTTCCATAAGGGCCCACGGGCCCAGCCCACTAGGGGGTGATTTTCATAGCCCCAGCGGCCCAACCACCAGGGGCTTATTATTTCATAAAGCCCCACGGTCCCAACCACCAGGGCTTGATTTCATAAGGCCAGCGCCCCACCCACCAGGGGTATTTCCATGGCCATGCCATCACCAGGGGGCTTATTTTTCATAGCCCCCACGCCCCAGCACTAAGCCCGAATAATGTGTGATCGTTACTTAATCTTTTCATCTTCCTTGGCTCTGGAACGCTTAAAAGTTATATCTTACTCCAAATCAAAAGCGATACATTCTCCACATATCGAAAGAGAAAAAAAATTATCCACGGGCGGTGTTCTATTAATCATATAAATGGAATACACCAACAAAATGTTAAACCTTTTGATAAGGTAGTAAAGGAAGAGAGAGAAAGGAAAAGCATGTGTTATACAAGGGGAAAAAAAAAGACTACATCAAAAATCTGTATAAGTGATTCCATTTTTGTAAAATTATAAGCATATTGTAAAGAAATTAGCCACTTGACCAGCCTTAAGAAAAAAAAAATGTCAAAAAAAATTTTTTTTAAAAGGAAGAAATTAAGGGACAAAGCATAGAGTTAGAACTGCTTTTACTGACTTGTAAGATGATAATTAAGCAACAAAAGCAAGTTGAAGAGTCATAGGAACAGTATAATAGTATAATTCTACTTTGGCAAAAAAGCAAACACAAACCCCTAAGCATGCCAATGCTTGTCTGTCTTCCAGAGAAAGACATGGGAGGTTTCAAAGCTGTCTCTGGCTTTGGGGGAAGGCGAGAGAAAGGGGAACAGGAAAATGATGAACTTTACACTTCTTTGAATTGTTTTCATTGTTATGAGGAACATGCATTTTTTTTTTGTAATCTTAGAGCAAAATATTTAAATGTTACCCCTTGTCTTGGTTCAGGCTGCTATAACAAATTACCATAATTACCTTGCTATACCAAATTACCATTTTTTTTCCCCTTCTGAATGGATCAGTTTTATGAGTTCAGGGTATTATTTCAGGCTAAATATAAAGTGAATGCGTTTATGGCCAAGAGTGGGTGGCCGATGGACCACAGGCGTTTTTTTCTTGCAGCTCTGGAGGGCTGGAAGTCCAAGATCAAGGTGCCTGCCTGGTCAGGGTCTGGGCTGCAGGTGGCCGACTTGTCACCGTGTTCTCGCATGCTGGAAAGAGGCAGAGGAGCTCTCTGGGGCTCCTGTCACTCATCCCATTCATGCACCTCCCAACGTTCCCACTTTCTAATGCCACCATGCTGGGGACTAGGATGTCCGCGTATGAATTTGGGAGGAACGCATTTAGTCCATAACATTTCCCCTTTAGAAAGCAAAAGAAATGATAAACTGAACCAACCGCCCCTCTTCTCTCCACTCTGACTCATCCTCGAGATTATGCCAACTCTACAGTGTGCATCTTCCGTGGGAAACTGAGAGCCATGTCACATTCTGTCCGCGATATTTTTCATCTGGCCAGCGCCAGGCTCCTTGTAAATATACTATCTGTGGAACCCTCAGAATTTTTTTAAATTAAGAAATAGTCCCAGAGCTTGTTTTACTGTCTCACCCAGGTCCTTATTGCTCATCTTCGTGCATGAATACCACTTCTTAGCCAAATAATTAAATTTAAGTTGAATCATCACTCTTTTTTTTTAAGAAAAATCATTTTATTTTTTTATTATTATTTTTCCGAGACAGAGTCTCACCCTGTCACCCAGGCTAGAGTGAGTGCCGTGGCGTCAGCCTAGCTCACAGCAACCTCAAACTCCTGGGCTCAAGCAATCCTCCTGCCTCAGCCTCCTGAGTAGCTGGGACCGCAGATGTGCACCATGCCCGGCTCATTTTTCTGTATATTTTTAGCTGTCCAATTAACTTCTTTCTGTTTTTGGTAGAGACGGGGTCTCGCTCTTGCTCAGGCTGGCCTCAAACTCCTGGCCTCAAGCGATCCTCCTGCCTCGGCCTCCCAGAGTGCTAAGATGACAGGCGTGAGCCACCCCACCTGGCCTGAATAATCGATCTTAATAAGGCGTGGAGTCTTTGGCAATTTGGTGTCTGGCCGCTGGTGACAGTCTGCTTCCTGGTGTGCAGACTGCACCCTCTAGCTGTGGCCTTGCATGACAGCGAGAGCAAGAGCTTCAGTCTCCCCTTCTTTCAGTCCCATCTTGGGGGCTCCACCCTCATCTAGACCCCATCCAAAACTGATTACCGGCGGGCGCGGTGGCTCACGCCTGGTCATGCTACTCTGTGGGCGGCGAGCGGGAGGATCCCTCAAGGTCAGGAGTTCAAGACCAGCCTGAGCAAGAGCGAGACCCCGTCCTACTATATATAAGTAGAAGGAAATTAGCAAACAACTAAAAATAGGAAAAAAAAAAGAATTAGCCGGGCATGGTGGGTGCATGCCTGTAGTCCCAGCTACTCGGGAGGCTGAGGCAGGAGGATCGCTTGAGCCCAGGAGTTTGAGGTTGCTGTGAGCCACTCTGTCTCAAAAAGAAAAAAAAAAGCTAATTACCTCCCAAAGACCCAACCTCCAAATACCATCATATTGGGGGCTGGGGTTCCAACGTGTGAATTGCAGGAGGGGACCACAAACATCCAGTCCGTGGCAAACTCTGCCCTAGCCTGTTCACATCATAGGCTATTAGCTGCCAAGCACAGTGCGGTCTCTTTGACCTACAGAGGGACGTGGAGTCCCCTAATGGCAAGGACTCTATTTTCCATCATTTTTACCTCTGCAGTGCCCAGGGGAGGCAGTTCCTGACCCATCTCTCTCCCTCTTTTCCTCCCTCTTTATTCTGGCACTGTGCTAGGGGCAGACTGTGAGACCAAGAGATAAAGTCTCGGATTCCCCCCCAGAATCTCAGAATCGCGTAGGGGGGAAGCGAGTGAGTAAATAAAGAGTAACATCAGAGAGCAATGAGCACACGACAGGAATGTGCGTGAGTCGCAGTGGCGATCAGAAGAGACTCACGCTGGGAGCAGTCGTGGGAAGAGGGAGGGCTTGGTCAGAAAGGTTTTCTGGAAGAGGTAGTTGTGCTGAGTCCCCCAGGCCAAGGCAGGTGTGCTGTGGGGCAGGTGGCAGCTAGCATCATGGTGGCATTTGGGGGCATGATGGCAAGCATATTAAGAAAAAAGAGAGAGATGAGAGAGGAGCAAAGAGCGTGCACAAAGACGTGCAAATTCCAATATCTGGAAATCGCAAAGACAACAGAATTCACAGCAGCAGAGATACCATTGCTGGGACAGTCACAGGCAACGAGGCTGGGAAATTGGGCTGTGCTTGAAGTGGGAAACAGCCTGGAATTCCAAGCTAAGGGGCTTGGATTGTATCTCCTTGGCAGGAGGTATCCAACAGGTCTTAGCCTCGTCTTGCCATGAAATCCTGTAGCTTTCTTTTCAAATCCATTGATCCACAAAAAAAACACAGACAGAAGTTACCTAACTGCCTATTTAAACAAACTCATATATATTTTTTAATGGCTCCATGCTATTTTAGACATACTGAATAGATCAGAAAAAGAAGGCGAATTGAAGTGAATAGAAGGCATGGTGAGAGAGAGTCATTTTCAGATAAGTTGAGCTAAGGGGAAAAAAAAGGGGGAAGGGGCTTTCTAACTAAAGCATGATGTTGGGCATCGTGCTAACAGCTACGTAGACAGAAATGAACCTCAGTTTGCTAGGGCCACTTCGCTAACGAATATATATTTATTTATGTTTTGAAATCCACAAAAGAAAAAAGTTAATATACTACTTGCGTTCTAGTCTCAGCTACTCTAAAGAGAGTAAAACAGACTTCAAGTTTACAAAGTTTGAACAAGTGGGTTTTACCTGCGGAAATTTTTTTTAAAATGTGTGTTTATTTTGTGTGTGTGTGTTTTTTTTTCATCAGGTCTGTGTGAACCAATTGCGGTGGAACTCTGCATGAATTTGCCCTACAACTACACGAGCTATCCGAATTACCTTGGGCACAGGACTCAAAAGGAAGCCTCCATCAGCTGGGAGTCTTCCCTCTTCCCTGCACTCGTGCAAACCAACTGCTACAAATACCTCATGTTCTTCGCTTGCACCGTTTTGGTGCCCAAGTGTGATGTGAGCACAGGCCAACGTGTCCCCCCCTGCAGGTAATAAATAGGATGGGGTCTCCCCCAAGCACGCTCATTTTGCCTCAAAGAGAACAAAAGGAGGGAAGACTCGACTGAGCTTGGACAAGTTAAATTTCGCCAAGGAGCTCTGTATTTAATAACTGATATATACTCGAAAGGGAAAGAAGCAGAAGGTGCAGAATGAACATTTGAATCAGATTACTTAAGTGCCAAACGAGGCAGGTATGAACTGCCTTTGATCACAGTTTATGTGTTTTAGTCCAATAAAATCACATGTATTTCCTTCTGGCGGATCAAGAAGCATTTTTTTAAGACCAAAAATGTGAATAGCAGAAGAAGGGGTATATCTGCTCCTTTCTTGGCAACACTGATGTGTTTCAAATGCTACATTCTGGTCACACTCAAAAGTTAGAGGTCTCAGGTAGAGAAGCAAAACACCAGCCTCACAGGTTGCATAGAAATGTATATCGCTGATATTTCTCTGCCCGTTTGGCTGAAATAAGGCATGGGATTTCAAGAGTGCGGCTTGAACTTTGGATTTGATTGATATCTTAGGGTCAAGAGTATTATCGTTCTGCAGTCCATGTTTGAGTTCACGTTCATCGCCGCAATAGGGAAATTTTCATATACATATAAAAAAAATCAAATACAAGAATTTAAGTACTATTGAAAGAAATTATTTGCTAGCATTGACCTTGCTTTGCAAAAGTGGAATAAGATTTAGAAGTAACTATTTAGCATAAAATGGGTAGATGCTTTATTAAGATACTTTAAAAATTATTTGACAGAAATTTTCAGAATTCCTTTTGCACAAGCCAATATTAAGTTTTATTTGTGTAATGCATTCAGCTCTGGCTGCTGGGTAGCCTTAGACAAATTCCTGAGTCTCTCTCAGCCTCTATTCCTTCACCTATAAAATAAGGATAGCAATGGTTGTTGTTTATACAGATAAAGGTATAAAACCGAACCCAATGATGAACCTGAATCAAACAAGCCGCTATGATATTAAACCAGGAATACACCATTACTAGGCATTTTCTTCCATGCCATGTTAGAGTTGTTAGTCAGGAATTTCAAACTACAGAAATCCCAGAAGTGTTCTGCTCTCTTCAGTGCGTTTTGCTCAGAGAAATCACAGATGTCTCAATGTCACGGAACGACGAAACCATAGTATCGAAATCACTTAGAGCTTTAAGGAAAAGCAATAATAGCAATATAGCGGACAGAAAGAAAAACAAAAAATACATCGAAAGCCATGATGACAGAAATAGGCTTCTAAAGACAGGACAGAACAATATAAAATTTCAAATGACTTGGTGACGTAATCATACACAATAAGAACTTAATATGCTTTAAAGAATTCTGAAATTATTGTCAAAATTAAAGTATCTAATAAACCACCCATTTACGCTAAAGTATCTAAACTATCCCACTTGCAGCAGGTCAATCACAACAATTATCTTCATAGGTACTAAATTCTTTATTGACTTTATATGTAATATGAAATTCTATTCACGATTCTAATATAAAGTAAATTCTCCAGTACATATAATTTATAATTTCAGGGCTTAAGTTTCACATTAAAACGCCTAAGATGAGAATGATCCTGAAATGTTATTCCATCAACATTTTGGTGGACTTCTTTTATTAATAGATACTTTAGTTCTTTTCCTAGGTTTACCCATACATCTTTCATTTTCAGTGGACATCACTATGATTTTTATATTTTGATGTTTGTTTATAAGAAGTTGTTCTACTGTATTGCATGAATAATATGCTAAATAAGTCTATAACGCAATGCGTAGTTGCTTTTGCCAAGCCTGTTTATTGATCTTAACATTTAATTTTCAAAGTTTGGAGTCTGAAAAAAAAAATCTAACATTATTGAGACCTTAAAATGTGCTGAATGTTTGAGCTTTGTTATGCTGTAGAATGCTCAAAATAACCTTTCGAGTGAGGTGCACACTGTCCGAGTTGCTCTTTGCGGGTAAGCACTGCACAGTTTATAAGAACGGTGTTCACTGGAGTTGTATTGTTGCATGCTGTTTTTATTTCCATTTTACAGAAAAAATAGGAAGCGGTAGAGTCAGGCACTATACAGTCTTCTATATAAATGAGGTATCATATAGCTAATTTAAAATAACAGCCACAATCGAGTTGCATACATTTTTACAACTAACAAAACTAGTTAGTTCAACAAACTAACTAGTTCAACAAACTAACTAACAAAACTAGTTAGTTCACTAGTTAATGAACACTACTGAACTTCCCGGTTTTTCAAACCTGCTGTGGGAATACCACATGGTTTTATCTTCGCTCCAAATTCCTAAACTAGCATTGAGTTACACTTTGCTTTGCCCAGATTTAAACCTAAACAGAGCTTTCGATTGCTAACCTTTCTCCACCAGCTTCAGGTAAGACGGGAGCTGAACTTTCTAGAAGATCTGTCCCATTTGATCTTTAAAAATGAGACCTTGATCGAGATGAACTTATAGTGTAAAAGTTTGAAACCTTTGAGAAGTAAGAAATGTATCTGAAAGGAAATACACAATGGGCCTAAAAGCAAACTTTGGTTATGCCCACTTTTGTGTTCTTTTATTATGTAACTAATTTGTTAGTAGTATATTGAGGCAAAACCATGTTTTTTTTTCCCTATAAGAAGTAAAGAAATATTTTGTTAGGTGTGCCGATACCTCGATTTAAAAATATTCTATACACAAATGATAGAGCACACTTGAAAGTACCTAGAACCATGCTTAGTATATCTTTTTTTCTTTTTTGAGATGAAGTCTTACTCTATTGCCCGGGCTAGAGTGCCGTGGCATCAGCCTCACTCACAGCAACCTCAAACTCCTGGGCTCAAACGATCCTCCTGCCTCAGCCTCCTGAGTAGCTGGGACTACAGGCATGCACCACCATGCCCGGCTCATTTTTTTTTCTATATATTTTTAGTTGAGACGATTAATTTTAATTTTAAGACAATTAATTTTAATTAATTTTTAGTTGGCCAATTAATTTCTTTCTAGAGAAAGAAATTCTCTAGAATTTCTAAAGAATTTTAGTAGAGACGGGGTCTTGCTGTTGCTCAGGCTGGTTTCGAACTCCTGACCTTGAGCGATCCGCCCTCCTTGGCCTCCCAGAGTGCTAGGATTACAGCCGGCCAGTATATCTTTTCTTTAAAGCAACAAACGAGCTTCATTTTAAGCCACTTGCGCTCAGCATGAGTGGGTTTGTTTGAGAAGTCCCAGGCTTTTCAATAATATCAATTGAAGCTAAAGTTGGGGAGGCCATGGCCTACAAGAGCCAGGGTGGCACACGAGATGGCTCACACAGCTGCTCTGCACAGGGGAGACCTCTGAAAACGAGGGTGTTGTCTGGACTCCATGAGTCTTGGTGGAAAACTATTCAGGGTGATGCCAGGGACTGCCCAGTTTGGAATGAGAGATTGCAAAATGTGTCCATTTCAAAGACATAAAGAGAGAGTTACCGTGTTTCCCCGAAAATAAGACCTACCCATAAAATAAGGCCTTGCGGATTTCTAAGCATGTGCCCAATAGAAGGCCTACCCTGAAAATAAGCCCCAGTGCTGAGCGTGGCTATGAAAATCAGCCCTAGTGCTGGGCGTGGCTATGAAAATCAGCCCTAGTGCTGGGCGTGGCTATGAAAATCAGCCCTAGTGATGGGAGTGGCTATGAAAATCAGCCCTAGTGATGGGCGTGGCTATGAAAATCAGCCCTAGTGAGGGGCATGGCTATGAATATCAGCCCTAGTGATGGGCGTGGCTATGAAAATCAGCCCTAGTGATGGGTGTGGCTATGAAAATCAGCCCTAGTGATGTGCGTGACTATGAAAATCAGCCCTAGTGATGGGCGTGGCCATGAAAATCAGCCCCAGTGATGGGCGTGGCTATGAAAATCAGCCCTAGTGACGGGCGTGGCTGCGCAGCGCATCTGCACAACCCAGGCGTGTCGACGCGGAGCGGGAAAGAACACGAGCAGCCCTTCTCATCTGCCCCGTGAGAGCTCTAGTGCTCCACAGGAGAGATCGGGGCCAGTGGTTCTAAAGGAAACAGAGTCGCAAGACATTCAGGATGGGATTCGGGGTTTGGAGAGTGAGGATGATGTTCCAGAAGAAGACGACTTCACTCTATTGGAATCAATGGAGATGGTTGTACCGTCCTTAAAAAAAAAAATAACACACCCCCTGAAAATAAGCCCTAGGGTGTCTTTTTGAGGAAAAATAAATAGAAGACCCTGTCTTATTTTGGGGGAAACACGGTAGAAAGGCAGAGTGGAGAAAGGGCATCTGTGTCCTGGAAATGTCTCGATTTCTATTTCTGCAATAAAAGTTTGTTTTGGTGTGAGCATGTTGCTGGAATGCATCCTGTCTGCGGAGACATTACTCGTGGGTACTTATCAGACATACGTGCTTCTCTGTGTTATTCGTATCCGCACACTGGGAACACACGGGCCATGCACACACAGCCCCACGTGCAGGCAGCATGAAAGCCCCACAGGCGTTGCCAACGCTCATCCCAGGCGGGGCTATTTCTGCTTCTGACCGTCTGTCTTTCTTGCCCTCCCAGGGCGCTGTGTGAGCACTCGAAAGAGCGCTGCGAGTCTGTCCTTGGGATCGTGGGCCTCCAGTGGCCCGAGGACACCGACTGCAATCAGTTTCCGGAGGAAAATTCGGACAATCAAACCTGCCTGATGCCCGATGAATATGTGGAAGGTCAATTTCTAAATTGGTTAATTACAGGGGTGTCTGCCGGGGAGGAAGATGTCAGTGACCTTCTGAAGTCTCTCTCCGTTTATTTGCGTTTGCTTGTGTGTTTGTTACCTGTTTGGCCGCCAATCAGGCTACACAGGTGAGTCTGTAGACCTGATGACATTGGAGGATTTGGCAAATCTGTTAGACACTGTCATCATTTTATTTTATTTTTTATTTATTTTTTCTTTTTTTATTTTATATATATATTTTTTTCATTTTCTTTGCTTTTTTTTTCCCACCAAGGTGTGTTGGTATATTTTTATTTTTCTTGAGACAGAGTCTTGCTTTGTTTGTCAGGCTAGAGTGAGTGCGTGACGTCAGCCTCCGCTCAAGCCACACTCCCAACTCGCTGGGCTCCAAGCGATCCTCCATGCACTCAGCCGTCCCGAGTAGCGGGACTACAGGCATGCGCCACCGTGCCTGGCTCCATTTTTTCTCTATATACTTATATTTAGTTGCCAATTAAATTTCTTTCTACTTATAGTGTGGTTTTGATTTGAGACAGTGACTCTTCGCTCTTGCTCAGGCTTGGTTTTGAAGCTCTGATCCTTTATAGTGTATTCTCCCGCTCGGCTCTTCCCAGAGTGCTGAGGATGTACAGGCGTGGAGCTCAGCTTCCGGTGGCCAGCCAGACCATGTCTCATTTTTTTATAAAAGAAATCTTTTTTTTTTTTTTTTTTGGATAAGGAGCCTGTTTGCTTTAATTCCCAGAGGGGAAAATGGAAGAAACAATTGCAAAACTGTACATGGTGCCCATATTTAAAAGTCTGAAAGTCAGCAGAAACAATAAAAGCCAAAAGGCTGAGGGTACATGGAATAAGTCTAGAGAAAGAAAGAAAAAAAAATATGTGGATGAGATAGCAGAGGGCTGTCTGAATATGCATAAAGGCTGTGGTCACCACAGGAGCTGATTTTATGAGACTTCAGGCTCAGCCAAGAGAGTTTAAGACTGACAGATAAGCTGGGTTGTAATTTAGCTATTTTCCCCTGTTTAGGTTGTCCAGTACTGGATTCCCAATGACTTGAACCAAACAGAATCAGTTAAATCAAATTTAAAAAACCTGAC